TGCGCATCGTGTGTGTGTGTGTGCGTGTGTGTGTGCGTGCGAGCGAGAGAGAGAGAGCGTGAGAGAGAGAGAGAGAGAGAGAGAGAGAAAGACTTTTGACTTTTAAAACCCCTTTTATTCAAAACAATTTAAGGGTTTGAAAATTATTAACAATTATAAACAAAATACAATTACAAATAATTAACAAAAAATCTAAACCATTTTACCAATTAAATACTAAGCTTCCATTTTCACTCACAGACACCAGTGCCTCTCTCACTCCCCACCTCCATTCAAAAAAGCAACATTATCAGTATGTTGATAATATGTATACTTAATGATCACTCGGGATTCAATTAAAGACTTAAACATTGCTACCATATCAACATCCTTTCCTGCATTTTTACACTGATGGGATTTCAAAATGGCTAGCTTAGCTTGGCCAATTAGAAAATTTGCAAGAACACATTGTTGTTGCCACGACCTTCTATATTGATATCCTAAAATAAACAAAATATTGTTGTACGAAAACCCCAATTTTATAATCAATTTTTCAAGTATTACGAACAAAGCACCAAGTCTTGGACATTCAAAAAACATGTGAAAAACAGTATCATGAGCATTACAGAATGGACACAGTAAAACCATCTCATTAAATTTTGAAACTAAACTATTGGAGGCTATAGCACAATGGAGTACTCTCCACTGAAGATCTCCACATCGCTTAGATACAGGAGGTTTATATAACACTCTCCATGACGGATATACTCCCTCACAAATAGAAATCTTACTTCTCCATTTAGTATCTGGTCTTCCTTGCAACTGTCCAACATGCACAGATTTAACACAAATATAATAAAGAGTTTTCTTCGCCACTTTATGAAAAACCAAATCACCATACCCCTTCAACAATGTAGTCTGATTCATATTACCCCCAACTCCCATATCTTTAGGGATCACCTTCAGCTCAGGGAAGTTCTGAGGTGAAAAACCATTTACCAGGGCTGAATTTATAAAGGAAATTAATGCAGGAGGAAAAGCATCCCTAATACACTTGATTATCCTATCCACAGTTCTCAAAGATTTAAATTTAACCTGTGCAGCAAGTGACAGTCCAGTTCGCCACTGACATTGTGTCAAATCAATTAAATCCATCACTTTACTGACCCCAGCACTTAAAAATTGTGGAATAAAACAAGACAAACTGGATGGTAATTTCATAAGGGGATTAAAAAACAAAGGTTCTGAAATCCCATAGTGTACATCTTCTGTTCTTGAAAGATGTAAATATTTCCATGATTTAATAACTGACAAATAAAAATTAGGGAAGAGACACTGTGCCCTTTCTTCAAAGGGTTTTTCCATTATTCCATGATTTAATAACTGACAAATAAAAATTAGGGAAGAGACACCGTGCCCTTTCTTCAAAGGGCTTTTCCATTAAAAACAACTGTTTATCAAGGCCTATTCCACCTATGTCTGTTAATAAAGACAAACCAAATGTAACCCATTGTAAAGGAGCAGAACAATACAAAAGCCTCTGCAATGTTTGTAATCTCATTGCTAATATTTTTGACTCTATATGTATTAATCCTTGACCTCCCTCTGCCACAGGAAGGTAAAGTATCCCAGGAATAAGCTAATGATGACCATTCCAAAAGAAATCCACAAAAGATTTTTGAATGGTAATAAGCAATTCCTTAGGAGGATTTAAAACAGCAACTCTATGCCACAACATTGAGGCTGCCAAATTATTAATAATCAAGCACCTCCCTCTAAAAGAAAGCTGCGGGAGAAGCCATCGCCATTTCTGTAATCTACCAATCACCCGGTCTGCTAATCCCACCCAATTCTTTTCAGTGTATTGGGCTGTCCCAAAAAAAACACCAAGTACTTTAAAACCATCCTGAGCCCATTTACATTGTTGTGGCAATCGAGGTGGTCCTATATCCTCCCATTCTCCCAACAACAAAGATGCACATTTATCCCAGTTAATACGAGCAGACGTAGCTTTCTGAAACGTATTCAAGCAAGAAATAAGTTTAGTAACATCATCAGTGCTCTTAATTATCACTGTTACATCATCTGCGTAAGCTGTAAGCTTCACAGGGGCTACTTCTGGAAAACCTGGGACACCAATACCACACAGCTGTTTCCTCAGCATAACTAGCAGAGGTTCAATAGAAATAGAGTACAGCAGACCAGACAGAGGGCATCCTTGTCTTATTCCCCTAGTCACAGGGAAAGGCCTAGTTAAAGATCCATTAATCCGTAGCATACTGTAAATGTCACTGTACAGAAGCATGACAAGAGAAATAAAATGTGTACCAAAACCAATGTTTCCAGCGTCTTAAACAAATAATGATGGTCCACCCCATCGAAAGCTTTTTCCTGATTCAAGGAAAGGAATCCAATGTCCAGTTTGTGTCTTTGTGCAACTGTAATAATGTCTCTTATGAGAAAAAGATTATCAAAAATTTTACGCTTAGGGACACAAAATGACTGATCTTCATGGATTACACTTGTCATATATTTTTTAAGTCTATTAGTTATTGTTTTAGACAAAATTTTAAAATCAACACAGATCAGTGACACAGGTCTCCAATTTTTAAGGAACCCAATATCTCCTTTTTTTGGAATCAGTGTTACAACTGCCCTCCGACAGATCAGTGGAAGTTTCCCTTGATTAAAACTTTCCAGAAAGACTGCATACAAGTCCTCTCCAATCAAATTCCAGAAAATACTATAAAATTCCGATGAAAGACCGTCTAGACCAGGCGATTTCCCAGGGCTCAGCTCCTGGACGGCCAGAGAAAGTTCAGCAAAGGATATAGGATTGTCAAGGATTTGTCGATCTTCTTCTGATAACTGTGGTAAATCACACAAATATTGTTCCATTGCTTTTCTATCACACAGTTCAGCACAATAAAGGTCCTCATAAAAGGAAAGAGCATGAGTACGGATTTCCTGCTGGTCAGTTGTCACACCACCTTGGGGTAGATTCAGTTTGTGAAAGTACTTCTGTTCTCTTGGTTTTTTTTCAAGCCCAAAAAAGAATGCAGAGGGAGCATCCATTTCATTTAGCTGAGAATATCTGGTCCTTAAGAGGGCTGTTTTTCCTTGCTCCTCCAACAATGTCTTTAGAAGGAATTTATTTCTCTCAATGGAATCAGCAGAGTCACCATGGCTACTTTGTCTCAGAATATCTTCTTCTAGTGACTTCATTTTTTCTTTGAGAGTTCTGGTATTATGGGCAGTATATTGTTGGCAAAACAACTTAATATGCACTTTGCCCATATCCCACCACTGACTTAATAACGGAAAACTACTTCTCTCCTCTCTCCAAGATTGCCAGAAAAGGTTAAAAGAGTGAATAAAAAAGTGATCCTGTAATAATCTGTTGTTAAAGTGCCAGTGTGATTTATGGATTTTAGAAGACAAAACAGAAACAGCTACAGGAATATAGTGGTGGTCAGATAAAAAAAGATGGTACTATTAAGCTGTTATAAAACCTACCACTATTACTCTTAGCAACATCAAATCGGTCAAGTCTCGCTCCAGACAAAGAATTGGAGTTAGTTTTTAACCAGGTATACTGTTTAACTCCAGGAAAATTGTCTCTCCATAAATCAACAAAATCATGGTAATCAATAACATTTTTTTAAATTTCTGCAGAACTTGGGTGAGGTTCATCATGATTTCTATCTAAATCCGGGTTTATAGTGCAATTAAAATCACCTCCTACTACCACAATATTATCCTGTGGGCACTGTGAAAAAGCATCAGACATTTTTTTTTTAAATATCTTACGCTCTTGTCCAACATTTGGAGCATATACATTAAAAAAAGAAAACCCTATTTGTCCAACCATAACATCTGCTCTTAAAAGTCGACCAGGAATTATCTCAAACATAACTGGTTGATTACAGACACATGGAGAAAAAAGTATAGCAACACCAGCACTAAGATTAGTCCCGTGACTCATTAAAATATTTCCCTTCCAATCACAATTCCACTGTGTCTGGTTCTGTAAGTCAGAATGAGTCTCCTGAAGCAAAATAATGTCTGCTTTTTTTAATTGTAAATAATTAAACAGAGCAAGTCTCTTTGTTGTGTCCCAACATCCATTAATGTTAAAAGATCCAATATTTATGAATGCCATGAGGAAAAAATGCTAGGGTATCCAAAAACCCAGAAAAATAGACTGACAATCATGATCCCATAGATATTTCCTAAAACAAGCTTTTAATCTTTTAATGCTCATGTGTTTTTTGAGCCTGTAACGTTTAGGTTGATCAAGCTCCTCCAATGTTGCTTTTTTCATAGCCAATGTACATGAATCAATGAAAAGTTGTAAATCTGGGAAGTATTTTTCAAGTTTTGGTCTTCGATGATTGAATGTATCATCAAGAAAGTCATTTATTTGGCGAACTGTATAAGGATGCTTTAATTTAAAATTGTGACAAATCCCTGCAGAACCTCCCTGAGATTCTGCTATATCAGAAGTGTCACTGTCAGAATCCATAGACTGAACTTCACTTCCTTCTATCAGCACGCCAGTATCCCCCTGTGCCAGGCTGAGCTCTGATGCCTGAGAATCTATTGACTCATCACCAACCCTCACGATCTCAGCACTCTCTACAGATCTTTCCAATTCACTGATTTCACCGGAACCTGCGTCAGCGCTCTCAACTTCATCACGCGCTGTATTTACACTTACAACGGTATCCACGGAAGTTTGTACTACATCGTCAAAGTGTTTGTTCGTTACAGGATCATTGGCAGTCTCACCATCTTTAGAGATAGAAGGCGCTTCAATTTTCTGATCAGTCCCGTCACTGTGATTTTTTTCGCCTTCGTTATTTAAAGGCAATTGTTCTGAAGAATGATTAAGTTCAGTCACATTAGTACTAGCCTCATCAGTCATTGAACATACCAGTTTTGTATGACCATACTTCCCACAAGAAAAACACCTCATTGATTCAGTACTGATATAAATGGTATATTCTTTACCCAGCAAAGTGGTTTTCGCTGAAGTATTCAAAGTTTGAAATTCAGCGTTCAGGATCATAAAGGTCTGACGTCTAAACGACATCACATGTTTAAGTTCTGGATTTTTTAATCCTAAAGGTATCATTTTAATAGACCCCACTATTTTACCATAGCGTCCTAACAAACGCTCGATTGAGTCATTGGTGATGAATGGAGGTACATTCGAAAGATTAACCTTCTTCGATGGACTCGACAACGGCAAAACTGGTAGAAAATAAGCATGTCAACATATTCTGTTACACCAAATACACAAAATAATGATCTTTAAAAAAGCATCATATGACCCCTTTAACAGGATTTGGTCTTTTTCCTGTTTTACTTCTGGTCTTTTCCTGTTGAAATATCCAAGTTTCAAGGTAAATTTACTTAAGAAGCAAACTTGTTTAGGGAATAGACCTGTATGAATTAAGTTTTTTTTCTTTTCTATACTGGTTGTGCTAAATGCTGATTCACTAAAAGTTAAAAGAATCGGCTCATAGGAGTTATTCGTTCAGGAATTGGTCTACAAAAGTTATGCTGTATGCTGATTCACTAAAAGTGAAAAGAATCGGCTCATAAGAGTCATTCAGGAGTCAGTCTACACTGGTTGTGCTGTATGCTGATTCACTAAAACTTAAAAGAATCGGCTCATGAGAGTCAATTGTTCAGGAATCGGTCTACACTGGTTGTGCTGAATGCTGAGTCATAGTGAAGTGTTTAATTCATGCTTAAACAATTTTCCAAAAGGCTAAGAAAAAAAAATCAGATATAGCCAACTCTCTGAAAACATGCAATGCAATTTTGCTTTTGATTCTCAAGTATCTCCCAACATGTAAATACATTTAGTTTTTACTGAAAACCAGACAAACATACTGATTAATTTAATTTAATTCATCTAATATGCTTTGCAGTGTTCATGTAATGTTGTATCTACTTCAAGAAGAAAACTGTGTATTTAATGTATGCCAAATGTCACTGTCTATATTGGTCTATAGAGAGCAAGTCTGTATAAGTGCCTCTGTATGTCTCTGAATTAGTTCATCCAGATAAACGAATTCATGAAAAGTGAGTCAAAGGCATGTCAACCATGTCTTATCTGTTGTATTAATAAACCTCTGAATCATTGCATATGACGGAAAAGTACAAACAGCATGAATAGATTTGAAAAGTCCTCTTAGACCATTATCATAAATTATGGGAGACCTTGGCCACTCTGTACATATTACAGTAAAATGATTTCACTTATGAATAGATTGTGATGCCATTAATCCATGTCCCACTGGAGATTTTCTCTGAAGTACAGAGTCAAATGATCTGGTTTTGTCCAGGCAAGTCATTTTCGGGCAACTACAGCGAGTACTTCGGAATGCATGTGGATGAAGACGCACTTGTCTATCTGATGCTGGCCAATCACATTCTCCACAAGCTCTACCCACAATGCATCACTGTAGCAGAAGTGAGAGTCTTGCACCGTGGTACATTTCTATTTTTTCAAAAGAGGTATAATTTTTCCTCTTTCCCACCAATTACAGCTCCCATTACCTTTTTCTCGCTCCCGAGTGGAAATTTCATTTCATTCTTTTCTATTCTCCTGCTCTGTGCCAGTGCGTTTATTTAAAACGGAGCTCCTGAGAGGTCTGAATGCCGTGGCTAATGGATCAGGGAGATAATTGGGTGATTAAGGCCAAAAGATTCAAGAAAAGAACAGGAGAGATTTTCAGGGGCAGGCACTATATGGATCTGCGCCACAGTCTGTCTTGCTCTCTTCTTCGCTGGTCTCATATGACCCACAGGCAGGTTGTGATAGAAGCAGGCATATTTCAAATTGTTTTAATTTGCCCATCTGCCAATGTCATTAAAAGTACAGAATGAATGGGGAAGTAGAAGAGTACAACAGCATCCCTGAAGACGGATGAAATCTGAAGGGTTGCCGCAAACCAGGCAACATTCGTTCCATACATTTACTCAATCCCAAAACCTCTCACTGCAGAAAAATCCTTTCTGAATCAGTATTTCTAAATGTCCAACCAATGGACATTTTGCCTCTGAGCATCAAAAGTTTTGCAAAAGAAAGCGGCTCCTCAGTTAAAGTTTGTTCTGGATTGCCATTTTTAACCCTTACTTTTTCTTAACCTTAAAAGTTCCCAATATAATATAAAGCGGTGTGGGAAATCGGACATAGGAATGGTCAGATCTGAATAGAACACTTTTTTTCTCTGTGCTTTGGCTTCATCTTTGCTGGAAATTCCAGTTTAAAGTAGTCTAAACTGGTCTAACTGGTTAATAGCTTTTTGTGAATTTAAGTAATCAATTGAGAATCATGGCATCTGCCCCAGCTATCCTAGACCGTCTTTAGAGAAGTATGACATCCAATTGCAGGAGGTATTAGCTTACTGGAGGCAAGATTTTCAATAAGTAACACAAAGCTTCAGGACACTTGGAATAAATCGTATGGAGCACTTTTATGATGCTTTTATGGTGCCATTTTGGAGTTTGTGGCTTTTAGTCCTCATTCACTTTAATTACACTTCAAAAAATTATTTTCTTCCTTAGTATTTTTGTCTTGTTTTCCAGTACAAATATCTAAACATTCTTAAATCAAGATACATTGGGACTTGGGAAGCCAGAAGGTAATGCACATTTTCACACTTTCCTGCTCACCATTCCTCGTGGATTTTGTGTAGGATGTATCAGGGATGCCAGGCCTGTGCAGGTCTATTGAAGAGGGAGGACTGGGCTTTGATTATCGTCTGAGCATGGCTGTGCCAGACAAATGGATCCAGGTGAGCTCCCATCTCCTGTGATTTCTCTCTCTCCACACAGATGTTGCTCCTTTGTGTTTGGTTCTGTGCAAATGATGTTGTTTGATGTTTGCAGTTCACCGTTTTGGGGTCATCTCTCTTTATGAAGCTGTGTATTTGTAGTGCGCAGTGACTGTCGCGCATCCAAATCCCCTGCTGGCTCAGCTCTATCTGCGCATGTATCAGCATGGGCATTTCTGCTTTAATTCGAGCCAGGTTTTTGCATGGCCGTGCCTTTTTAAAATGACAAAAGGAAGAGTATTGATTGAATTTGCTTCATGAGTTCAGGGTGTAATCTGAGATCTGGCACAGCCTGTTCAGATAGCAGCCCCCTTTTTTTTCTGCCGGGCTTCTATTTCAGTCCCACTTTGCCCATGTTTCATTCGTCCTTTGGCAGAATTTTGAATGCCATTAAAAGGTTTGTGTATTGATATACCTGTCTATATCTCTCTATTACAGCAAGCCTTTGCATCTGTGTGATCTCTCTGCTTGTTCTGTCTCACGCACACACTCTCCTCTCATTCTTCAGGCTTATTCAATATAACTTACAAAACTCTAATCACTTTCAAGTCTCGCATAGGAAAATCAAAATTTTCACGCTTGGCACCAAACCAGAACATAACCCCTGAAAAATAATTGAAAACAAGTGAAACAAATCGTATTTAATCATAGAAAAAAAAGACTTGCAAATTGTATTGCATTTTAACTGAGCACAGAATATCAAGCGTATCCCTGTTTACAATCTTAAAGGAACCGTTAAACCCAAAATGACAATCCTGTCATCATTTACTCACTCTAATGTGGTTTCAAACACGAGTGACTTTCTAAGGTTTAAAGGAATGTTGATGCTGCTCTTTTCCAAACAACAAACGCATACAGGTTTCATATGTGTGTTTTTTAGGCCTTCTAAAGACATTTGATAGCTTTGTGTGACAGACCGAAATTTATGTCATCATTATTGTCACCATAGCTCTGAAATCTCATCTTACGCTTGTGTATGGTCAAATTTTGCCCCAATTGTGGTATCAGTGACAATGGCACTAAGTTTTACATGTCAGTTATGTTGTGCCAAGTTTGAACATGAAAAGGTTTTAAAAAAAAAAAAAAACAGAAATGAAAAACACTGCTAAAAATCTTAACCGTGCTAAAAGTTCTGCTAATAATCTTCTTAATGAGTGCTTTTATTTAAAGAAAAATATCTAAATATCACTGAGAAGATATTAAAATATTTAGCAGCACAAATGTTTTCAACTGATAGTAAGAATAAGAAATGTTTCTTAAGCAGCAAATCAGCATATTAGAATGATTTCTGAAGGATCATGTGACACTGAAGACTGAAAATTCAGCGTTGCTATTACAGGAATAAATTTAAATGTATTAAATTAATTTAAATTTAATTTTTTTACATTTATTAGAATAGATCAAATAAATGCAGCTTTGGTGAACATAAGAGGCTATCGTATGGTTTCAGAAGACTTTTAGTACAACCCAGAACTCCCATATTTATGGTACTTTTATGTTATTTTTAGATGAAAGTCATATGGGTTTGGAAGACTGGGGGAGGGAGTAAATGAATTTTCATTTTTGGATGAACTTTTCCTTTAATCCCTTGACAAACTACAGTAACCCTGCATCTGTGATCCCCCTCAGAATTAGAAATACACGTCCACACTTCACCTCTCCATGCCATAACTCTCATTTTCACAACGAGGTGTTCAAAAGGGCAAACTCCGTCCTGATTTACTACTGAATTCCACCACTTTCTCGCTTTCTGTCTCTCTCTTCCTCTCCTCCTATGTCACAAACAGCGTTAGGGCTTCTCAGCTGCGCGCTGCGCTGTGACAGAGGTCGCCTGAGCGTGGCTCGCTTGTGAAATTAAAATGTCCGCCGCTCCGAATCGATAATGCAGATGATGAACAGAGTGGAGAGAAACAGGAGGAGAAGAGGGCCACAGTCCGTAATGAAACCTCCCCAAAAGCTAATGAAATCTTTAGAGATTTCCATAAAGAGAGCAGCTGTTCTCTCTCCCTCACTGTATTCGGCGATGAATACATTAATATGTGGAATCAATAGGTTTATTAGCGATGCCATTTGATTCACAGGGCAGAGAGGAGAGCGAGAGTTCAGTCATACTTCTTGAAGAAGAGAAATGGAAATGTTATAACTGAAAAGCAGATTAGATCACAATGTGAGTGAGTTTCTGGCGGCCTGTGGCAGGTGGCAGTTATAATGTCTGCTGCTGTCTGTTGGGTGAAGAGGTCAACTTTAACGGACACATACAGAATCATATAGGTGTTTGTGTGTGCATTATAACTTAAACTCACATTCCCACATAAGCATCATGGCATTTTTTTTTTTTATATATATATAATTTGATCAGTTTGCTTAATATTTTACTTATTTCACTTTAATATTTTATTTTAATCTTTTACTTTGTTTTGTTTTGTTGTTTTGTTTAATTTTGTTAGTGCTGAGGTTTTGTGTTGTGTTGAGGATGTTTTTTGTTTGTTTGTTTTATTTTTTTCTTAGGTTGTGTTTATGTTGTATTGAAGTTATGTTTTATTTGTATTGTGCTGAGGTTTTGTTTTGTTCATGTTGAGATATTGGTTTTGTTTTGTTTTGTTTTAAAGTTGTTTTATTAACATTTTTGTCTAGGTTTTGTTTTGGTTGTGTTGATTTTTTGTATTTGTTTTTTATTTTGTTTTTGTTTAGATTAAGTAATAGTATATCTTACTTAAATATTTTTCTTTTATTCTTAATTTAGGTTTTGTTTTGTTTGTGTTGTGCTGAAGTTTTTTTCTGTTGTGTTCTGTTTTGTTTTGTTTCGTTTCATTTTGTTAGTGTTGAGATTTTGTATTGTTTGTGTTGTGTTGAGGTTTTTGTTTTGTGTTGTGTTGTTTTGTTTGTTTTGAGGTTGTTTTTGTTAAATTTTTTTTTTTTATTCTTAGTTTGTGTTTATGTTGTGTTAAAATAGTTGTTCTGTGTTGTTTTCGTTTCATTTTGTTAGTGTTGAGGTTTTGTTCATGTTGTGTTGAGGTTTGTTTTCTTTTGTTTTGAGGTTGTTGTTTTTTCCCCTAATTTAAAGAGTTGTTTTATTTTATTTCAGTCTTGTCTAATCTATGGGATATGAAATTGGACTATGAGACAAGCCGGATTCAAACTCGACTGTTCAAGCACTACCACACAGTGTCCCAGAGACTGTCCACTAACCGCCAGACTATGTTTCCCTGTATTTGTAAGAGTACTTTTATAAAATTATAGTAATGTTACAACCTGCTTCTGTCCTGCGTCTGATTGGTTAATGCAGCTCTCCAGCTGTGCTAAAATGTACAATATTTAGTAGCAGCTATAAAACATATCTTCGCCATATGACTGCAGAGCACCCACAGGATTGCATACTGTTACTGTATAATCTTGTTTTATTCGTATGCTTTAAAGAAAATGTCTATATAGTAACTATTAAAACAATAAGCCCATCCACTGCGCGTCATGGCTGACATGGTTATATTAACAATACAGCACAAACTCTCATACCTTATTGTATTGTATTATGCATATTGTTAACTACATGAGCACTTAGTGTGGATCTTTGTGAGCAGGTTTAAGTCTGTTATGAGCTTGATCATTTATTTTATCCGTGTGTAGTTGTGAGCGATTATTTACGTGTGAGTCTATGTGTGAGCGATCTCTTGTGTGCTGTGGGAGAAAGAGGTCATGATGGCAAATAAAGCCATCGTGTGTAATTACCAGCAGTGCCACTAGAAAACAGATTAATATCCTTCTGGCCTCTCTGGCTAAAAGCACTCCACAATCCTCATTTATTTAATTCATATCCTTGTGCTGAGCTCCATGTGGCTGTTGATTTGATTAATTTGCTTAAGCAAATTATCTCGAATTATCTAATACTTTTCCATTACCTCCACCCCCACGTCAACACCCCACCCTCATGCTTGTCTGCTCTCAAGAGGAACAATTAAACCTGGTAACGCATAATTGTAATGGGAATCACTCTGATTTTGGCTTCCTCATTAAAGCATATTGGAGTTTTAGTTCAGCCTCCAGTGGATGAATTATGTATCAATATACTTTTATTTCTCTTCCTGTGGTCTGAGGAGAAGAAATGTAGGAGGGAGAGAAAAGAAGGTATGATCGCTAAGGCAGATAACTGGCTCTCTCTTCCCGTCAGACTGCACTGCACTGTGCTGATTGTATGTGATTGCGGGGGAGCTTTGTTTGCAGTAATTAAGTCTACGGTTTAGGAATGTGCACTAACTTCCTGTTTGTTTGGTTAAATAGCAGATTTCATGAGATGTGGAATTATTGCAAACATATGATGAGAGAGAAGACGATATGTTGTGCCTGCAGTACTGTTTTCTCAAGCTTCAGGTCTTGATTGGCCATTGAATGTGTTAGCAACGAGAGGAGGAAGCTTCCCCTTAGCATTTCCGTTCATTTCTGTGGCACTTGTTTGTCTGCTGTAGGATCCCCAGATTTAAAATCTGCCATCTTTGCTCATGGGAGCTCAGTTCTTAATATTTAAATTGTGACACTTTTTAGAGAAGTCCTCACAGTTGTCCTAAAGCTTTGTTTGAAGTACTCATTCCTCCCTCTACTGAAGAGTTGAGGAATTACAGCTGCATATGACAGCAGGGAGGCACAGTTGGCACTGTGCTTGTGCTTGTTTCTCTCTTCTCTGTCCTTATCACTTCTCTTCGCTGTCTCTTTAGCAATTTCATTTAATTTCATAGGCTTTAATGGCATGGTCATATTCAGTATAGTCAGAGCCATGGCACAGCAGTAGTCAGCAGTAGTCTGCTTTGTGTTTGATGTGTCTGTATGATGTGTCATGTGGTGCTCCTACTGGGACACAATACATAGAGTCCAGCCAGCATTATGTTATTATACATTTTTAGTTTAAATTTAAATATAAATGTATTATGTATTTTCTGTTTGTATGTATTTGTCTGTTTATTTATTTATTT